AAATATAAATTTATATATTTTATAAAGTTTTTTTAATAATATAAAAATAATTAAAAATTAAAAATTTTAGCTTTTATGAAGAAAATACTTTTATTAAAAAATTTTTTAAAAACTTTGATCTTAAATTAATGCAAAAAGTTACTAATGTATCATAAATTTATTATAAGAATATTATTGGTTTAATAACTAATTATTAATATATTTAAATTAACTTTAAAGTGTAAGTAAAATTCCTTTTAAATTTGAAAGAAAAACTATTAAAGAAATAAGTTCTTTAAATACATAATTTCTATATATTTTTCTTATATAAATCAAATTATTTATAAAGAATAAATAATGTGAATTTTACTTTAATAAAATTTTAAAATATATTAAACTTAGATAATTTTTTATAACATTAGTTATATTATTCCTTTAATAGTATTACTTTCAAATTTAAAAAAAATTTTACTTATTAATTAAAATTAATTTTAAATATTTTAAAAATTAACTATAAAACAAATAATATTTTTATAATAAAATTTAAAGTAAAACCAAAAAAATATTTATATTAATTTGCATTAATTAAAAATTAAAATTTTGAATATTTTTTAATAAAAATAATTTATTTATAAAAGCTTAAAATTTATAACTTTTATTTATTATTATATTATTAAAAAACTTCATAAAATATTTTAATTATTAAAATGAATTTTATTTAAAATAATATTTATAATAAATTTTATAATGTATTTTAAAAAAATTATAAATTTCTATGTAAAACTTTGCATAATAATTGAAAATCAAAAACTTAATTTAAATAAAATCATTATCATTTAAAGAATAATAAAATTTACAGGTTTTATATTAGAAAGATTTATTTTTATTTACTAAAAAATTTTAGAATTAAACTTTTTAACTATTTATAAATTAGAATTAAATATATTTATAATTTGTAAACATTAATTTAAATTAATATTATAATAATAATTATTATATCTATTTTTAAATTAATATTAAATTTATTAAAGAATCTATTAATATATAAATAATTTATTTTGTTAAAAGTTTATATTAAATTTAAAATCTAAATTATAGATATTATATAATTATAATAAATAGTTTTATTATGTTAAAATATTTAAATCATTAAATAAACAAAATATTAAATATAAACAATGATATTTTAATAAATATAATTTTAATTTTTAAATATTTAAAATGATAATTATTATTATTTATTCATATATTTAGGTTTAATAATAATAAAAAATATTAAATTAATAATTAAAATTTTATAAATTTAAAATCTTTATAATATTTTTTACAATAATTAATATACTTATATAATAAATTAAATAATAATTTTTAAATTATTAATACTATAAATCATAAATATATTGATTTATCTCAAATAAAGTTTTTAATTATAGCTTAAAAATTTTTAATAAAATTAAACAATGAAAATTTATTTATATTATATATAAATAATAAGTTATTAATATTTTTAATTATTATAATTCAAATAAATAAAAATGAAATAATTTAATTTTTAACAAATAATAAGTTTTAATATTTAAATATTAATTTTTACTTAAATTTTAGATTTTAATAGAATGTTTTATTTATAATCTAATAGTTCATTTATATGATTTAAAATTCAAAAAAATATTTTATCATTTTTTAAATATATTAATTTTTATAATAAAAAACTAGTGCATATATTTTCAAGTTTACAAATAAAAATTCATTATTTACCGTAGACTTCACCAGTGGTTCTTGTTAAAAAGAAAAATGGCAAAACAAGATTCTGCGTGAATTACAGGAAACTGAATGACGTGACGAAAAAGGATAAGTATTCTCTACCACTTATTCATGAGATTGTTGATAGTATTCAAGGAGCAAAATAGTTCACATCAATAGATCTCGCATCAGGATATTGGCAGGTGGAAGTTGCAGAAGAAGATAAGAAGAAAATAGCATTCATTACCAAGTATAGATTATATGAATATAATGTTATGCCGTTTGGATTATGCAATGCTCCAGCTATATTCCAAAGACTCATGAACAACGTGCTAGGAGATATACTATAGAAGTTTGCCCTAGACTACATTGATGATATTACCATTTACTCAAAAATATGGGATAAACATGTGGAACATATAAAGGAAGTAATATCGAAACTTAGAAGCGCAGGACTAAAAATCAACCCTGACAAATGTCACTTTGCATCAAGAGAATTCCAGTTCCTTGAACATATCATGGGATTGATAGAATTAAACCAGATCCGGAAAAGGTGATCAAGATTAAAAATTATTCAGAACCAAGGAATCAGAAAGAACTCAGAAGGTTCATTGGAATGACAGTATACTATAGAAAATTTATTAAAAAATTTTCAAGAACTGCAAAGCCATTATTCAAGCTATTAGAAATTGAAGGCCAATACCAATGGGAGAATAGCAGCAAAATTCCTTTGAAATATTAAAGGAATATTTAATAAAAGAACCAGTGCTATCATATCCAGACCTGTATAAAGAATTCATCTTAATAACTGATGTATCAAAAGTAGCAGTAAGAGCAGTGTTATCACAGAAAGATGAACAAGGGAAAGAACATCCTATTGCTTATGATAGTAGGACTCTGCACAAACATGAACAAAACTATAACACCACGAATTTGGAAGCTCTCGCTGTAATCTGAGCCTTAGGAAAGTTTAGACATTATTTACATGGAAGGAAATTTAAGATTTATACTGACCATAGCGCACTCGTATGGTTACTGAATAATAATCAAAGTACAAATGGACAACATTCCAGATGGAGAATGATCTTGCAAGATTACAACTATGAGATCATTCATAAGAAAGGAAAATATAACTCAGTACCTAACGTATTATCCAGAATTCCAATACAAACATCCTTAACAACCAATCATCATAAGAAATGAATAAAGGAGAATACAATGATATATTCAAATATTTAACAACCCTCACATATCCAGAAAAGGCAAATGAACAACGGAAATCCCAAATTAGAAAATAATCCAATAAGTATTTTAGAATGGGACAATATTTATTTAAACGATACAAAAATGGACAACCTCAACAAGTTATATTACCAAAACAAACTGAATTGATATTATTCAATCTGCATAAAGATCTCACTGGAGCACATCTTGAAATAGAGACAACGTATGAAAAATTGAAAGAAAGGTACTATTGGTCACAGATGTATGAAATCGTTAGGAAATACATTTAACATTGTAATACGTGGCAAAGAAGATGAAAGCCCAAAAGGACAGAAAAACCTTACCCAATACCAGTGAAGGGACCTTTTAACCGAATTGGTATAGATATAAAAGGACTTCTGCCAGTAACAACAAATGGAAATAGATATCTTATAGTAGCTATGGATTATCTTACTAAGTAGTCTGAAGTAAAACCCTTGAAGCAAGCAAAAGCTACTGACGTAGCAGAATTCATATTTAAAGAAATAATTTATAGATATGGAGTATCAGAAATCATCTTGACGGATAGAGGCACTGAATTTAACAACCAATAGGTAAATGAGCTATGCAACGATTGGCAAACCAAATATTGATTAACTTCACCATATAGGCCTAAAATGAATAGAATGGTAGAAAAATTCAACAGAACTATAGGTGAATGTTTGGTGAAATTTTCTGAAGAAAAGGAATGGGATTAATATATTGAAGCAATACTATTGGCCTACCGAACTAAGAAACATAAATCTATGGGATTCACACCTTTTTAGCTGCTACATGGAAGACAAGCAATCTTACCAATTGACCTAAAAGTATTGACCTATAATGAGGAAGAAAAAGATGCATTACTTAAGCGGACTCAAGAGATCATGGAAAATAATGATGCTTATGAGATACAACAGCAAATTAAGATACAACAAGCAAAGCGAAAACAGAAAAATGTATCTGAAAAATTTAAGATTGGAAACAAAGTCCTGTTGCACCAAACGCATTTAGAAAATAACTTTTCAGCAAAATTAGAGGCGAAGTGGATTAGACCGTACTTTATCCATGAAGTTTATAAGAAAAATAACTATAAGTTGCAAATACTTGAAGAAAAGTTATTAAAAAATTCAGTATATGAGAATAGGCTTAAGATGTATTATGAGGAAACGCTTGAACCATAGGTCATCATTGAAGAGTTTTTTCTAGAGAAAGAAAATTAAAGAGGGGAGGGTGTAACCCAAATGATCTTTAAGAAATTGTAAATGTGACGCAGTAAAGTGATCTGCAAATGATCATCATGTAAATTGATCTGCAAGAATCAATGACACAATAGTTGGCAAAAGGTAATCTGCGAAATTAACCAAATCGGTTAATGAAGAAATGAAGTAATAGATCATTAGTTCATGATGACACGCGTAACCTTCTAAACTAGAAACTCCAAATAGAAACTTCAAGAAGAAACTAGTCAAAAGGCTAAGTATAAGATGTAGCAGTAGTTTAAGAACAATATAATTATATTCTTTACATCTCTTCACATATATATATATCATAGTTAAAGAACTATTGCATAGCGATTAGGTAGTCATTACTCAATTATTACAATAATATTATATAGAGAAGATAAGAGAATCATTACATAGTTTTATGCAATAGATAGCAATTTAGTATAGAAATTTTATTATAAATAAGCTAAGTTTTTCATCATGTATCGATAGAAATTTAGGAAGTTAATTTTATAAGATAATAAAAACATTTTGCTAAATTGTCTCGTAAACAAACAAATTGCTTTGTGTCAAAACCTGCTTTGTCAACCCTTGGTTAAGTAATAATTGAATTACTTAATGTTATCAAATTGCTTTATGTCAAACCTTGGTTAAGTAATTGTAAATTACTTAACGTCATCAACCCTGCTTAGTATCAATCCTGGTTTAAGTAAAATCTCAAATTACTTAAACGCTATCAACTGTGTTAAAGTTATCAACAAGTTAAAGTATTTGATATTATAAATACTTTAAGCTGTACGTCGCTACTTAGTTATAATAATTTATTATAATGTCATCAAGGTAATTTCTTAACTTCTTAAGAAATTACGAATTACCTGAAGTGAATTGAAAGTTGCCATACTTGCCAATTCTGAAACTTAATTGTGAAAGAATACCGAAGTTAACAATAGCCTGAATCAACCAAAGTCTCTCCCAAAACTTAATAAAGATTGAGCTAAATCTTGCTGCTACTCAATTGATTACGTGTTTCAGTCTGCATAATCATTAGTTGGGTAACAGTACAATGAAATATGATTGGTTATAATTACTTTTATATAATACAATTCAGCTGATCATACTATACAGTTTATCTATTTACCTTTTTTAATTTGTAATTGCATTATTTTTAAGTTATAGAATTTTTAATCTAACAAAAACATTAAAAGTTAAATTTTAAACAAGTTAGATAAAGTAATTGATTATCAGTTTATAGTTTGTGTTTTAGAATTAATGTAGTATGTAATAACTATTGCTATTTGTATTCATATAAAAAATAAATATCAATAAATAAATATTATAGATTCAGTTAGTAATGCTAATAATATTTTACAAATTTGATATTTTTATTATAAATAGTATTAATTTTCAAAGCACATTGTGTTGAAATCTGTATTGGCAATTATCATTTAAAAAAAATGTCATATCTTATTTTGCAGATTTATTTGAATCAACAAAAAAATCAAACCATTTCATATCAATTACATAATACCTTAGAATATTAGCTTAATATTCAAAATTTAAGGAGAAATTAGAATGTGCTATATCAATTAAAATTGATAATAAAGAAAAATGAAAAGGTCACTATTTTGCATTTAATAAGATGCTTGAAACATTTAGAGTTAAATTTATCAAACAAAATATTATTAAAAATGTAATTAGTATTAACAATTTAAAGCTACAAGTCAAATCTACTTAGAGTGAACGAGATTATATAGGAGTTTTATTATCAGAGTATCCTAATGATCCTTATAGATCAATTGGATAAAGAGTTATAGATACTTATAAAGTAGTCATGTAGAACCTAATATAAGAACTTCTATCAGCATTTTCCATTCTAATGATTATAATTATTACAAAATTCTTTATGAAATACTACTTTTCCAATCAGCTAATAGCTGTTAGTGTTATATGATTCAGTAATTACTTTTCTGTTAAAATCTTAAGAATAAAAGTAATTTTCTTATAAGATGTTATTTCAATGCAAAAAGTAATAAAGTTAGAAGAAGAAAGTTAGAAGTTATAAGATAGAAATCTAATGACCAAAGTTCAAAAAAAAATCCTCTCAAATTATTATTACATCAACATTATATTCAAATATAGAAAATTCTAATTAATCAAAAAACTTAGTAAATCAAAATGAATCACCAAAGAAAAAATAAAGACAGATTTGCTATAAAACTAAACCTGAAGAAAAATTGTTCTTAGAACCATTGCTAAGTTATTCTGTTTATCCAACTAGTAATCAAATAGGTCAAGTTAGAGAGGCATTAGAGGCAGTAATGTCCATTTCCTATGTCCTAAGCATTTGCTGTCCCAGCTATATGTCCCAACTATATGTCTCAACTATGTCCCATATATGTCCCAAATGTCCCATCTGTCCCATCAATGTCCCATCAGTGTCCCATCAGTGTCCTAACTATGTCCCATGACAACACTGATTAGAGGCTGAATAGGATAAAAATGTAATTTGTCAATATATGGGTTGTGATCTAAGAAAATCAAGTTCTGAGAATTTTTTAATAAAATTGAGATTTTAATTGCATTTTAATTTTTATTACATTTAGATTAAAATGTAATAAAATATTAATGTTAGTCAAAAATTTCTCAGAACTTGATTTTCTTAGATCATAACCCATATATCTCATTATAGACGTAATAAAAAAAATAATTGTGAATAAATTGATATTTTTTTTATTGTATTATCAAATAAACTTGGTCTTTGATACATTTATTCTTATCCATTTTATTATATTAAATTTTTTATCAAAATCTGTTATTGCATATAGTTTTGTAAAGTGATTCATTCAGTACTTTATTGTTGGTTTAAAAACTAACAGCAAAAGAATCTGAGACTTTTGTATTAAAAATAGGTAAAATTGCTAATAGAACGAAATATTATAGAATAGCAGAAAATGCTTCTTTTAGACAGAAGAAAACTAATGAAAAAAAATATTAAAAAATTGAACGCGTTTATATTGTGACATGAAATAGCAGATTTAAATGTTACACAAATTTTTTAATTAATGATTGGCATTATAAAATGGACATGCGTACTGACTGATAATTAATATTCATTATATGGGAGGCGGTCAGTAGAAAAGGGGGAAATCCGCCTCCCATATTTGATCGGATAACTATAAAACTATGTTACACATGACCATTTGGAATATCGGATATATTTATTATATTACTTCATTTTTAAGTTTTAATAATATATTATTTAATAAATCTTTACGTAAAATTATATTATAAATTTGCATTTTTAATTTTTTTATATAAAATGGAATAATTCAAAATTTCGAGTTATTTATTGTACAGGAATTTTCATTGGATTTGATCCACGCTTTCTTTTTTTCTCCTTTGGTCGGCTAGGCAAAAATAAGTGAGATTATATCACAGGTCCGGGAAATGATCTCATAAATTAATATTATTACGTAGAATAAATGGTGCAAGCAAGAGAAATATATTTTGAGAAATTTCAGTATTTGCCTTTGAAACAACATATTTAATTTTATTGTTACTTCGCATTCAGTCTCTTGCCAGAGCGTCTCCGTTTCACCCAGCAATAAAGTAATTTATTAACTGGACAAATAAGTATACACATTGAAAAAAGACACGTGATGTATTTGAGAAAATACTATTTTTCGGGGTATTATATTAAGGGGACTATCTTTGAAGTCTAGAACTAGTCCAAACTAGACTTATTCAGAACTAGTTCAGCTTTAATAAACACAATAATTTTTTAAATTTAAATATAGAAATGATAATCGCGATGCTTTCATTCATTGTTGTCATAAAATGGGAATTTTCTCACGCTGAAGCCCATAGTGATTTCCTAATTAGTAGCATGATTTCAACGACGTGTATAAATATTTCAATCGACTCCTTAAGTAACCGCAAATTTTTTATCTCAATATAAAATCTTTTTGTGTTGTATAAACTAGTGAATATATATATATCATCGAAAAACTTCTTAATATTTTTGTTTGGCAAAGAAAATATGTACGATAATATAAATAATATCCTAAGTTCTCGCGATAATAACCGCGACGACGACGGCGATGCGACAAAAGTAAAGAGGCAAAAGAAAGTAAAAGAAACTGTAAATGAAAATCAATCAGTTGTTAATGATCCCGTTATATCGGGTAATTATTCATTAATCTATTATCAATTTTAAAAGCAATGAATTGATTATCTTGAGAATTCATTATCATTAAGAACAAATTGGGTCACAGTACCTTGACGGTCTTACAAGACTTACGCATGTCTCTGGATATACTGGTGATTATATTCGATTCGAAGAAATAATCCAAAAGGTAAGGTATCTCATCATTTTTATTTATATTAACTTTTCAGTATACTAAAATTTTACTTAATTAACAATTTTTTAATTTCCCTTAAGAATCGATTAAAAAGCGCGTTTTTTTGTGCAATGTCTATAGATTTTTCTTGGCTACTCGAGAGATTACCAAAAGACGCAAAAATAGTTGTAGCTAAGCATTGGAAACCCGAAAATGGTGAATCGGTAATTGTCTTTTATTTTTTTATTTCTTTAAAAAAAAAATATATTTACTGTATATAAATTTTAACAGGATTCTCTTTTTTTCTTTAAAATATTAAATAAATAAATAAAATAAAATAAAAATAAAATTGAATTTAGCAAGGAATATTTTGTATACCTAATACAAATATATTACTAATACATCCTCCAATGTCAAATATGGGACATGGCTGTTTTCATGCTAAATTAATGGTGTTAGTTTATGATGGTTGGTTACGTGTGGTTATTTCATCCGCCAATTTAATTTCTCATGATTGGGAAATTTCCGAAAATATTGTTTTTATGCAAGATTTTCCAAGTTATAATGATCATAATATGAAGATGCTTGACGAAGAGAATGATTTGATTAATAATGATGATTCGATTGATAAAGATCTTCATATCTTTGCTAAAGAATTAAAATATTTTTTATTGGCTATGGGATTAAAGTCTCATATCATAGATAAATTACCTCAATATGATTTCTCAAGAGCAAAAGTAATTTGATTCTTATTTTGTTATATATATTTTTTTTTTGATTTAAATTCTCATTTTGATGATTTAGGCCATCATCATTCCTTCTATACCTGGAGTTCATCAAGGTATAGAAAATATAAAAAAGTATGGTCATGTAAGATTATCTCAGGCTATAAAGAATGTTTGTGGGCGACATGAATACGTTGAATTAGAATGTCAGGTATCTTTTAATTTAAATTCTATAGATTTGATCAAGATTAATTTATTAGACAATTAAATTACTTATCTCTTTGGGATGATAAAAGTCTTTATCACTTGGACCAATCACTTCAGAATATTTAAATGAATTTTATAGATCAGCTAAAGGACTTGATCCTATTATAACTCCATTATCATCATCGATACCATTACCACCTATTACTCTTGTTTATCCAACAAATAAAACCGTTCTAAGATCAAAATACATACTGGCGGTAAGAATAATATTTTTAAGTTCTTTTTTTCAAAATGTTAATTAATGGGGAAGGATTTATTTTATCTACATATATATAGGGAGTTGGTCCTTTATGTTTATATAGAAATAGATACGAACAAGAAACTTTTCCAAAAGAAATTTTAAGGTCATTATATAATTATTTATTAAAAGAAATTGATCTACTCGGAGTCAACCTAAAAAAATGATTTTCTTTTTTTAGGAATTGTGAATCGAATAGAAATGGAATATTAATGCGTACAAAAGTAAAGGAGATGAAAAAAAAGCCTTACACTTTTCTAACAATATTACGTCCATAATTAATATGTAATCAATTATTTTTTTTTAGTTTATACTTGCTAGGTTCATTCAACCATCACATCAGCAGCGGCAACAAATTAAAATCAAAAAAAGAAATAGATATGATTATGGTAGTGATGAATCTACAATTAATTCTTATGTAACAGCTCCGGAATATCCCGATAATGAAATATTCAGCACACATGAATCCATCATGGGAAGTCTTTTAGGATCATCACAAGAGACAATAACTGATGATATACAAATGGATGATAACATCGTAGGATGGTATTATTGTGGGTGAGTTAATGTATATTTAAATTTACAGAACCTTATTAATGAATAAAATACATATTGATCATAATATTTTAATAGGAGTCATAACTTTACAGAATCAGCTTGGTGAGCCAATAATAAATTAATTTGAATTTCTTCAAAAATTTAGGTTTACCTTTTAATGTATTATATTTAGGGGAAAACTTATTACGACTAGAGACATAAAAGAACCTCAATTAAAAATTTACAATTGGGAATTGGGAATATTTCTCCCAATACCCAAATTAAATAGCGATTATGATAAAGAAAACAATATAAAAGAACAAGGAGATTGGTTCGGTGATCATGGCGTACCGGTATCATATAAAAGACCGCCAAAACACTATGAAGAAAATGATATTCCTTGGGTAAGTTAAGGTAAAACATTTCACTGATTATTTTTATTAAAGAGTAATTAAAAATAATTATATTGGCTCATGAATATTATAGGGTTACCCAATTTAAAATCACCAAGTATAGAAATTTAATTGATAGAAACAATGTAGACAAAAGAATAATGAAATATAAAGTTCAAAAAAAATTCTAATTGTAAATAATGACCAGAAATACTACACTTAAAAATAAATTCAAAAAAATCTTTATTTTTTTTTTTTTCCTCGCCAATTCACTACAGATAATAAACTGAACCTACCATAGTGCATATAAGCAATACTATAATAAATACTATACTATTCTATTAAAAATCATCTCATAATAACTTAATCTTCGACCTACAATTGTTTAATTCAATAAGTTAATATTTTAAATAAAAACAATTTCTTAAATAACATTTTGTAATTACCATAGGAGCTTGCCCCATATCATCTTTATCATACTTATCCTCTTTATCTTCTTTATCCTCCTTGTCAACTTTGTCAAGTATATCCTCTTTATCCTTCTTATCTTCCTTATCTTTCTTATCTACTTTGACTTCCTTATCCTTTTTATTGTCTTTATCCTGTTTGTCTTCTTTATCTTCTTTATCCCATTTAATTTCTCCATCCACAACATTTTTATCATTTTTATCATTAATTCCAGCTTTTCTTCTATCTTCATAATTCTTTAAATAATCATCCAACTCATCAAGTGAAAGTGGTAAATTTGAAGGTAATCTTATAGCATATAATCTCATTATATGTCTTGCTATATTTTCCATATGTATTCAAAAAAAATTCAAATAAAAAAGTTCCATTTTCCATTTTGATTAAATTGATGTTATGAATAAATATTAAATGAAAAAAAAAAAAAATAGTAAATAAATTCGATAAATTTATTTAAAAGGATATCTTCTAATTCAGCTTCAAATAATTCCCACCATGGAGGGAAGGTTGGCAATTTTACTTGAGATATTCTTGCAGCTAACCATATAACAGCACAAGCAACCGTTGCAGGTTGATAACATACGTACACATTTGTCCTTAACCTATATAAATCATCAAAAATTCGTTTAAACCAAAATTCATATTAAAAAGGACGTAAATACGTTTTTACTTACGAATCATTAAGGTACCCCCATGCTTTTTGGGGAATAGTCTCATGATCAGTTAATTCTAATACTTTTAAATAATTAACCATTAATCCATATGGTAATTGTACGTGTACATTAAATCCCAATTTTTTTAATATTTGCATTTCAGCAATTACCAATGCATCCTTCATTTCATAATATGTCTTTTATAAAAGGTAAAATAAAAATAAATAAATTTATTTATTTATAAAATAATAATAATAATAAAATTAAAAATGAATAAATTTACTTGTCCTAAATATTCCAAAGGTTCAATTGACTTGCCACAATAACTTCTTATCAAATAATGATAAACATTAATTAAATCGCGAATTTTGCATGGTGCTTCTGAAACTTTTGAAGCGAGGAATAAAGCTCCCATACCTATATCCTTTTTATAAAGGATTTTTTTATTGAGTGTATGTATATATGTATATATGTATATCAAAAGAAAAAAAAAGATCTAAAAAGGATATTAACACAAACCCTAACAGAGAATTTTTTTAAAGATGCAACATAAAAAAATCGTTGAAAAAGTACTTGTGCAGTAGCCATAGCTACCTGCGGTCTAAACCATTCATATATATATATATATATATGATTATTTGCTTAATTTAATTCTTTGTTTTTTAAAAAAAAAAAATCAAGAAAAGAAATAAGAAATTAGTTACTTACAATCGTAATAATATTCCAGCAGATTGAATAAAATCGCAACCTAATCTACGAAGCTCATCTTCTAATTCTTCTGGTATATTATCTTTTTTTGAAGGAGTAGTTTCTAATTGTTCGTACGCTAATATGGCATTTTGTAAAGATAATTTGGACATGGTTAAAGCAAATAATTTTAAATAGTTACGACTGATCGTATTTAAAATGGCGATCACGATTCCCGAAGAACATTCTAGAAAATTTACTTTTTGTCAATTATAACAAAATAAAAAAATTCTATTGGTTGATTGGAGTATATCACATGAAATGATGTTAAGTCTCCAGGAGAGACCGTCCAGGTTACACAAAATTTCGATATTATCACATACAATTGACCAATGAAATCATAAATGTTCGATATTGTCACATATTAGTCCGGCCAATCAAATTGAGTTTACACAAATTTCTAAATTTAGAAATGGTAATTCCGGTCACTTTGTACTTAATTCCTAGCCAGAATTAATCAAATATTAGCTCGAAATATTAATTAATAATTAGTATGATTAGCTCGAAATATTGATTGATTCAAAGCAACATATTATAAATTTACAATTTTATAAAATAAAAATTTTTTTATTTATTGCAACCAATTTTTGTATATATAAAATAAAAATTTACAGCTCTAAAAATAATGTTTTCGTACGTTCTAATAAATTCTCCTTTGCTATCATATCATGCGTTACCTGTTCTGTATTACTCAAATAATCTTCATCCGCATTCTCAATATTCTTATTGATAGATTCATTTTCAACTCCTCCTTCCTTCGTTAAACTTGCTATCAATGCATCAACATTCTTCTTAACTTCATTCTGTAAATAGTTTAAACATATTAAATACTTGTATTGGCATCTCTGCAAGCAATAACTGTGATAACAATACCTACACGCTAGAACACTGCCATTAATAGAGTCATCAGTATGATCACAATAAATAAAATCACATAAAATGATAATGTTAGGTTTTTTAGAAGTCACAAAGCCTTGCGGGAGATGTTGATCTGTTATTTCATAACCTAAAGAAAGAAGTTTATACGTGCTAATACCATCAGATGAGGATTTAAGGACTAAAGGATACTGATTTTGAGTTGGATATATCTTTGCGAATAACTCTAAAATCCATATGGCACATTTTTGAGAAAGCATGCGCAACTGCTTTGGTATATACAGATATTTTACGGAATGTATAAAATGTTGTTGAAAGGAATTATCATGTCATTGTTGAAAAATAAAATGAGCCTCCTTTCGCAATTGTTAAGCCGTGAAGAATTTAGCAATACATTTCCGAATAATGCTGTGAGCTATTTTGATGGGACAATCACTTAAAGAAGCAAGATGATTAGTAATTAAATTAATCATCAGATGCCTAATCTTCATCCAATAAAAAACATCTGAGAAGAACATTAAAGGAGCACGTTTGTAATTCCTTCGATCAAACTGAAGAAAGAGGTCATTCCAATAATGTACACAGGCTTCTTTGTAAGTCAACCAATTGCCACCATGGTGATGTATCACATAAACGTCGAGAACTAAGGGAATCAAATTACTAAAAAGATCTGTTAGATACTTAAATTCAATATCTTTGCATAAACGGCCAAATTTCAAATAAACAGTATCAACTACATCAAGTCACACCATGCGTGCGATATATAAAATTAAGTTGATTCTCCATGGCCATGGCTTCTTACCAGATCCTTACGCACATTTGTAAATATCATTGAACAAGTTAGAGTTCTTTAAAAAAACAAGCTTACGAGCGTTCAAAGATACATGAAGAGAACCCATCATAGATAAAAATGATGTGATAAATTGAGAAATGTTTTCATTATTAGTGAGAAGCCGTTGCACAAGAGCTTTGCGAATGAATAACTGACTAGGCCAGTCTGCAATAATGGGAATCATATAGTTAGAGAGATACACCTGTATTGGCTCTTGTTCATATACGATCTGGAGTGAGCTCATGTAATCCTTTACCCTTTTAAATTCTTTTCAACAAAATTAAGAAGAATGGGAATTTCGTATATGCTGATTATTTTTTTTCTCCATTATTCTATTATTGTAGCTATGTATCGTTAATCTGTTTACTAGCTTTTCATTAGAACATTCCTTTGTATCATTTCACATGCGTTCATAGTAAGAAATACCCAAATTTATAATAAACTAATTGTTGAGATATTTCTGAATTAATTCATCATTCACAATCTTTGGATTAAATACCCCATTACGTGATATCACTGGTATTGGACATGGGTTTACTAAGATCGTTGCTATATGCACCGCCCAAGAAGTCTCAGTTGTATCAGATCGCTGTTGAACATGTACAGTATATTATGATAGTCATCAACGTTTAATATAAAAACATTTCCCGAATTGTGTCTAAGAGCATTTTTCACATATTCTTCATGTGTATCAGAAATTACTTTCTTCTTCCAATCTACCACCCTTGATATTGTAGTTACCTCGAGATTCACCATGATATTCAAACCTTCGTTACTTGTTCCTGCCAAATCTAGATAATAAGCTAGATAAAACTTGAAAGAAGTTATTTTTGTGTTATTTAATGAGGAAAGAAGATAACAAATGAATAACATAATTTTTTTTATACGATCAATCATTTGATTGCTATGCTCAGAAGGCTAGGCCACTATATAAAGTTGTTCAAAAAATCTTTCAAAACAGGTTCGCTTTCTTCCATTAATTCTCGCATTTTATCAAATTCATAAATGGGTTTCTCGTTCCGCACATATTCTCTTTCGTATAGGACTTTTGCCATTGTTCTGGTAACTTTGGAAAGCATAAGCTTTGCACTAAACATACTTACCTCTTCTTTTTCCGTAACTTTTTTCTGTTTAGGACTTCTTATCAATGGATTTTTCACAAGATTAATATAGCAAGTATTACACAAAACAACACACTCCTTCCAGCTTTCCTTTGTTAAACCTTTACTTTCAGCTTCTCTTTACTTCTCTCCTTTAATGTACGAAATCTACTCAATTCAGTGGCTTGGCATTCGTTGCAATTCCTATTTTAAGATATATTGAAGGTCATTGGATTCAAATGGATTCACGTGAAATTGTTAATCTACAGCATCAAAAGCTTAAGGAATGCTTAGCATCTGTGCACTTTTCATAGGATGAATAGGCTACACAAGCTTCTTGAAAAAGTATTGTAAAACGTATAAAAATTGATCTACTGAATTGTATAACATACTTTTCTTATTTGGGATATGATTACCCCTGGATCATTATGCTGATGAGAGCTGAAGTTTTAAGGTTTTATTAATTAATATATGTATATTAATCAAGTTTTTATAAATTCTAAAGCCTTTTTAAAGTCTACCAATATTTTTTCTTCTATTATTTCTTCTTCTTCTTCTTCCTCTTCTTTATTTTCATTATCTAATATTTTATTATCTAATAAGCTATTATTAATATTATTATCTCTTTCTAATCTTTTTATATAGGAATTTACATTAAAGACAACATCTTTTTTATAGAATTCTAAATAATAATTACACTTATTATTTCATTTTACATAACATTTATGATGAAAAACATATCTACATATCAACATTTTACCTTCTTCTTTATCTAAATATTTAAATTTTTGCTTACAATAATCACATATATTATAAGATTGTGGTTTAGATGTATAATATCCTGCAGGTAAGTATCTTAATTTTATTTTTTGATTTAATGTTGCCAAATAATATTCATTCTTATTAATTTTCTTACTTTTTTCTAAATTTTTAAAGATTTGATGAAAGTAGTTAATTAAGAATATACTTATTTTATATTTTAAATAATATATAGTAGATTCTTTATAAGAATAATTTTTAAATATTCTAAAAGTATTAAAAAATGTTTAATTATATAATTCTAATACTTTTTTTACTTGAGAAATTATAGCATTTGAAGAATGTTAAGGACTTGTATTTCTTCTAATTTTACTATACCAATTTTTAATATAATAATCATTAAAATTAATAAGATAATTTTAAATTGCTTCAAAAAATGGATGATTATTATCTTTTCAATAAAAAATATCTAAAAGAAAAGCCAATAGAATTTTATTATAATTTTTTCTTTCTTATCTTAAAGCAAATGTCTATAATCTAAAAATTGTACTTATATATTGGTCATAAGATTCATATCAAAATATATGAAGTGGTCAGTAGAAAAGAAGAAAATCCAAAATTTTTGTTAATTTAATTATTAAGCTAATTTTATACACATGATCGAAATCAGCTAAGTGGTTCAATAATATAAATTTTGATAAAAATTTGGATTTCCTCCTTTTTTACTGACTGCCTCCTATATAATACTATAGATATCTAAAGCTTTAGGTGTTAAATTATTTAATATATCTATTAATGTTTAATATTTAATATCTTTATAAAGTAATCCAAATTTTTGAATTATTTCTGTAACAATTTCAATTTGCTAATTTTAAAAATAAATTAATTCTTCAAGGTTTAGGTTTTTTTGCTAATATTTTATTTTTACTAAAAACTGATTAATATAATTTTTCAAAAAAATCCCAATAAATTTATATTATATTTTCTCTCATATTTAGTAATATATGAAATAGTCTAAGAATTGAAATAAAGTTATTAATAATAGAAATTTTTTGTTTTTTTTTTGTTTATTAAGTAAAGTTATTGCTTTTCTTATAAATAATTGATCTGGAAAATCAGTAACAATTGGTATTATATTTTCTTGAAGATAAGTATTTAATGAAAGAATATCTATTATCATTTCAATAGCTTTTAGATAATCACCTAAACTTTTAAGATTTAATTCTTTTATATTAACTAAATGATAATTTATTATTGATCTATTACTTTGATATTGTTTTATAGAATTATCATATGAATGAATGGTTAAAAGTTTTATTCTATCAAATTTCTTCATGGTAATTAAATTATTATTTTATAATTATATTTTACTACATTATAACTTTGACTTAATAAATCAAAATATATATATATTAAATAATAATTGATTTTCCAATCTTTAATATTTTCAGGATTATAAATTGAAATAATATTTTTTATTACTGGTATAGGAGAACTTCCTTTAATAGTTTTAAAAATATATGTTGTCATATGATATGTAGATAAA